CTATTGGTTTTGCCGAAGGAGATTAGGAAAGAAATCCTAAGAGAGGTACATGGTGAACAAGAGAGCGGCCACCTAGGGACGAGTAAGACACTGGCCAAGATGAAATACAGATATTTCTGGCCAAAAATGTCCGCCGATTGCAGGTCATTTCTGCGGAGTTGCGAGTTATCTGCCAGGAGAAAGGCACCAGTTAAGAAGAGAAAGGCTCCCCTGCAGTAATACCGAGTAGGGGTACCCATGGAAAGGGTCGCCATAGACTTACTCGGGCCCCTGCCCAAAACGGATGGTGGAAACCAGTGGGTTCTGGTTGTGGGAGATTACCACACGAAGTGGATGGAGGCATACCCTCTGCCCGATGCCACTGCCAAGACCGTTGCACTCAAGTTAGTCCAAAAAGAGTTCATATGCCGGTTTGGTGTACCACAAGAGTTGCACTCAGACCAAGGCTCCAATTTTGAGTCAATACTTTTTGGTGAGATGTGCCAAATACTTGGGGTGTCCAAAACCCAAACTACCGCCTAAAATTCCAAGTCGGATGGGATGGTCGAAAGGTTTAAACATTAGTGAACTAACATTGTGGCTATGCTCATTGATCCCAAGAAGAGGCAAAGAGATAGGGATGAGATGCTCCCATATGCCACCTTCGCATATCGGTGCACATAATAATATATAATAAATGGAGCATTTATAAAGCGCTTTTAACAAAGATCAAAGCGCTGTACAAAACTACAAATCTACAAATAAACAAGGCAAAAACAAAAACAAAACAAAAAACTTAATTTAAGAATAACTCAAGGGAACCAGGGGATAATGAAATGTAAAGATAAGGTGAATTGATTTAAAGAAACAGATGTGTTTTGAGCGATTTCTTGAAGGTGATGATTGACGATGCAAGTCGGATGTGTTGAGGGATCTTGTTCCACTCCCTGGGGCCAGCAATCGAGAAAGCTTTATCACCTGTGGTTTTAGTGTTAATAGGAACATGTAATCGGGAAGTGTCTGTTGAAGACCTAAGCCCCGCCCTACCTGATTGATACAAAGAGAGTAAATCGGTCAGGTAGGAAGGAGCCAGACCGTGTTGTGTTTTGTAAACGTATAGAATTAATTTGAAAAGAATACGTGATTCAATCGGCAGCCAATATAATTGATGCAGGAGCGGTAAGGCCTCAGTAGAGCGGCTTACACAGAGAATGAGTCTGGCTGCACGGTTCTGAAGTTTTTGTAACCTGTTTCTGTCTCCTTGACTTATGCCGTATAAAAGAGAATTGCAGTAGTCAAGGCGAGATGTGATTAGCGAACGTACTGCATGGTGACAAGTGTTCTGATCGATGAACTTCCGAATACGATTTATATTGCGTAGATGAAAGTTGACAGATCTGCATATTGTTGTGAAATGTTGTGACATAGACATAGTAGAGTCAAATACTACACCAAGGTTTTTGATGAAAGGTGAAGGTTTGATAGTGGTAGATCCTACTTGAAGTGTCAGGTCAGAGAGAGAATTGATGCTATGGGGAGAAGCGGCAATAAAAAATTCTGCACACCACAAGACTCAACGGGGGAATCCCCCAATATGATGATGATGGGTAGGGAGGTAGCATACCCCATAGACCTTACTACTGGGTGTCCAGATACAGAATATGACACCGAGACAGACTACGCAGCAGAATTGCGTAACAACATGCAAAGAGCGTATGAGAGAGCAAAAGAGTGCCTAGGGAAAAGCGCCCATAGGCAGAAAAGAAGGTATGACCGAAAGGTGACAGAGACAGGTTTTTAAGGAGGGGCAGCTACTTTGGCTCTGCATAACCCTGCCAAGAAGAAAAGCATGTCCCCCAAGCTCCAGTTGCGTTGGGAGGGACCTTGGCAGATAGTTAAGAAGTTGTCAGATGTAACAGTCCGCATTAAGTTGAAACGGGGAGGTAAACCTCGAGTGGTGCATGTAGACAGGCTAAAGCCATATGTTGGCGAGTAAGGGTCTGAGAGAGATAGTTCCAAAGAGAGGGCGTCAGAAAACCCTCCAGTGGAAGAGACAGAAATCTCACAGGGAGAGGCACAAGATGAAGCCATGCCTCAAGATGAGGTGATAGAAAGTACCACAGAAACGGCCACAGGCTGTCAGGACGACAATCATGAGGCCCAGGGTCAGGATGAGTCCAGTAGTCCCGCACAGAACCCAACAAAGCGCTATCACAGAAGGATTCATCGACTGCCTCAACATTACCTCTAAGGCAATAGAAATCATTGTTAGATAGTTAGGGGACTTAAGAAAAAGCCTCCTAAAAAGGGAAAGTTGGTAAAGAAATTCAATTTAATTGATTACCTATTTTCTTTCTTGGTTTGTGTGCACAGGGTACCGACCAAGGGACAAGAGTTAACAATGAAGACACCTAAACCCAGGGTGTTTTAAGTGCAGAGAATGCCAAGCACTGTTCCTGTGGAGGCATATCCAGATGTCCCACGGACCGATTAAATACCTATACTGCAAAGAGTGCAGATATAGAGCGACCTGCAGAGATACCATGCTGAGACACTACTCATGTTTCCACAAAGGGATGTCCTGTCCCTCTCACCATGTCCTATCTCCCCATTGATGGCGCTACCATCGCTCATTAATTTATTAAATGATGACATCATTCTTGTTAAATATATAGATTGCTGAGCATGCGTAGGTAAGCTTTTGATTAGTGCTCAGACCTCATTATAATAATTTGCGTAAATATCATTGGTAAAGTGCATGCAGACAGCAGCGCGAGACTGGTGCAAGTTTATGTTTTGTCTAGCATGCGCCATTCCATGTGAGCGAGCTGCGTTTCATAGCAGACCGAGCTAGAGCGTTCTAGAGTCGGGAGCGAGTCGCGTGGCAGATGGTCAAGCAACAAGTCCGTACGGAGAACCAGCCGAGAGAATCCACTGGATTTGACAGCGCAACCGCGGTGTTCAGGCGTAATTTGCAGGTACGTTTCTAACAGCTGTACCATAGTGATAGTTGTGTAGGTGAAACAGTGCCGTGTAGTGCTTTTTACATGCCTTAGGAATTGACTTTTACTTGGAGTGGTCGATTTAATGTGTACATAGAGTGTGTCAGTAAGAACAGAAAAATTGCGTAATTCTGAGAGATATAGGGTCAAGTTGTAGGCTAGGTTGTCAACTATATTGTCCGAAGGTCACCGTCAGAAACACGGCGAGAAACTGGACAGGGAGAGAGCAGACTGTTGCCTTGAATTTCCCTTTACTTGGAGTCAGAGTTAGTCAGTAGCATTCCAAAGATATTTGGGTAATTTCAGGGAAGTTGCCCGAGTGCGGAGTGCGGATTGCGGATTGCGAGTGCGGATTGCGGAGTGCGGATTGCAGAGTGCGGATTGTGGAGAGCGGAGTGCGGATTGCGGAGTGTGGATTGCGGAGTGCGGATTGCAGAGTGCGGATTGTGGAGAGCGGAGTGCGGATTGCGGAGTGCGGATTGCGGAGTGCGGATTGTGGAGTGCGGATTGTGGAGAGCGGAGTGTGGATTGCGGAGTGCGGATTGCAGAGTGCGGATTGTGGAGAGCGGAGTGCGGATTGCGGAGTGCGGATTGCGGAGTGCGGATTGCAGAGTGCGGATTGTGGAGAGCGGAGTGTGGATTGCGGAGTGCTGATTGCAGAGTGCGGATTGTGGAGAGCGGAGTGCGGATTGCGGAGTGCGGATTGCGGAGTGCGGATTGCAGAGTGCGGATTGTGGAGAGCGGAGTGTGGATTGCGGAGTGCGGATTGCAGAGTGCGGATTGTGGAGAGCGGAGTGCGGATTGCGGAGTGCGGATTGCGGAGTGGGGATTGCGGAGTGCGGATTGTGGAGTGCGGATAGCAGAGTGCGAATTGCGGGGGTTTTTGGAATTATTTTAAGCATTGTGAACAACCTTTAACTGTATTAAACACTCTAAAAAGTGACTGCAAAGGACAAACATAGCATAAACATTTATAAAATGCGAAAAAGCCCTATGTTCTGTTTGAACAGACATAGCTCTAGCTTTTACTACACTTGTTCTTATTAATTATTTCTGGTAATGAAACCAGTGATTCCTCAAAAGTGCCCTTGGCACTGGAGCTCTCAAGCCTGAAGAAACCTGTAAAAAGAAGATGATGATAAGAAATGACAGCTTTAGAAGTGGGAGGAAAATCCCGGAGGAATATTCTGGGGAAAACACACAGAATCATCAGGTAGGGACTGAAAACCCAATCTACAAGTGGCCAGGGCAGGAACCAAAGCAAGGTCACAGCGGTGGAAGGCAAGGAAGGAACCGCTACGCCAACCTGACCCCCTATTGATGTAAGTGTAATTTTAATTCAATTCAATTTAAGCAGAGAATACATGAATAATTAAATGGAATGGTCGAAAAGACGTAAGAAGCGAACGTATAGTTATGGAGGTATCTTCCAGAACCCTTGACTTGTGGCGAGATGCCTTGGACGAACTAACACAGAACCAAAAAACAAGAACAAGTATGCACGGATAGTTGGACCAAGACGGAACTTATAAGCATGTAAACTTACAGAAAAACTAGAAAACTACGTATTGAAAGAAAAAAGACCCAACAATTGCTGGAAAAAACAAATACGAAGCAAGCAACGTAAGATATCGGGAGATGAGAGCTCTTTAATAGGCATGTTTGAATCGACACAAAGATGAGAGTGATTTAATAGATTCGTATGTGTGTGATTAGCCCCATAAATGTGGCCAATTTACTGGACTACCTCCGTAAATATAAAGGCCACACTTCCACCATGTACAAAAACATGTCGAGCTTTGTCAAATTTAGATTTTCACATTTAGGCTTAGTTTGTAGTTAATTTTTGCTTTAGAAGCATACTGACCCTCTTTATAGGCTAATCAGAAAGTGCTGCCTTTTTCAGATGTCTAATTTTTGTGAAATTTCATGTTGAAATTTTGATACGCAAACGTATGTAAACGAATCTGGAAATTTCACGCAAAATTAGACATCTGAAAAAGTGAACGGCTTGATTACCTCTTGAGCAGGATCAAAGCTTGACTTGTAGCGGTGATCCTCTCAAAGCAGCCATCCACAAACTCCTGTAGAGCACACTATACAGGGAGATTCAGACACAAGAAAGCAACATATCAGTCTATCTGCAGCTTTCATCAGACTTCCCAAATTGTTGTAAAAGGTAATGCTGTAATTTTCAGATGTGGATGGAGGGTTTACTACTTTATAGCAAACATTGTTACACTGACCTGTTTAAAGTTTTGAGTTCACAGATGCTTGAAAAATCAAGAAACAAAAGCTGTTCTTGTTGTCTGGTTCCCTGGCCCTAGATTAACCTCAAACAGCACTGGAATAGCCCCTTTATATTAATTTCAATATTTCTCTTTGTATTCTCCTAAAAATTCAACTTTTACCGAGACTATCATTGTATATGTACCTGCAAGTCAAAGACATTCATCTTGAAATCTTCATAGTCGTTGTCAAAGTCCACCTTGCGGTGGTCCAGCACATCGTAAGGCTTCTTCTTGATTCCTGAGTAGATGTTCAGGAACTTGTTGGCCATGGGTTCAATGCCTTCAATGCGAGATGTCGTCAGCACGGAGTAAGTGTCAATGGTGCCTAACATCTCAACGATCTGCAAACAAGAACATATCACCATCACATAACATTCTCCCTTATAGAGAATTTATAGTCAAGCGTTCATTTATAAATTAACTCTCTAGTTCTAAATTTCAGTCATTGTCCCAATCTCTATGTATTTTATTAGCTTGAGCTAAACTACCTGTTTCCAGCACTTCATGAAAACAAATTTTTTTTCCTTGATTTTTACCTGATAAATTTCCAGAATTCCATGACAAATATTTTCACTTGAACAAGGATGCTGGGAGTTTAACATCACTATAAAAATTATGCAGCAAAGCAACTTGCAATACAGGCAACTTGTTGACAAGCGATGACCTCCCTTCTCCCCTTATAGCAATCCTTTCCTCACCACATGCAACAGAGATCTATGCACATACACCAAACTGGTGCAAACCTGTCCCTTCTGGATTACTGTCAAATTGACCTGTCGCGGTAGAATAACCTTAGAATCGTGTCAACGCAGCTTGTGAAATATTGTCCAATTACATGATGTACAAATGGACAAGGAACGCGCAACATCTGAGATTAGCATACACAAATTCCATAGGGTTGTCTAAAGGGTGTGGCTAACTCGCAAACGGCAATAGGTCAATTCTCTTGAGTTTTCCCTTCTTTTTTTCTTTTTTTTCCCCAAATTCCCTGAGTTTCCCCTGACTGGAAAAATAGAAACTCATTTTTACAGTTTTCCCTGATTTCCAGAGAGGCCGAGAACCATGTGGTAGAGCTGCTAATATTTCCTTGTACCTTTTCAATCCTCTTGCAGAAGGCATCAAACTTGCCAAAGATGTACATCTCTGAGAAGTCAAACGGTCTGGCACCCCGTATCTCCTCAATCTTCTTCTTGGTCTTCTGGAAGCCCTTCTGGTACTCCTTGTAGAGTCTGGTAGCTGCGCGCAGCTTGCTGAGCAGCTCCGAGTAGGGCTGGTCCCATATGCGACTCATGCCGTCGTTGGTGATGTAGTTCTTGCACGCTGTCACCATCTGGTTGGTCACCTAGGTCCAAATTTCATAACTGTTACAAGAATTCTTGTACAATATGCTACGGCAAACAAACAAGTTCCAAATACATTTTCATTACTTTGTGAAAAAAAATATTTCAATTCCACTTTAGCCCTTTAGCCTCTGTAGCGTCCCAACCTGCCCTGCCTATTACTCCCTGAAGCCCGAAGCCGCCTGAGTACTTTATGGTTTTATTGATTCTTCAGTGAATGTTATACAATGGACTACAGATGCTAATTGGTTTACAATGTGTCAGCTCTTTAAATTTCGAGCTAATATTTACTTAAAAGTCAGTTATCTAAATTCTATAATGGAAAATTTGCTTTCAATGAGGGTCATGATGGGTGACCAACATTGATATATATTTTATAACTCAATAAATTTTACATACACCAACAAATGTTTGATTCTATATCTTCATTTAAGGCAAACTATTTTTGCCTGATACTTCATCGAAATCCTTAAAAAGTATCAAGTATTTTCTTCAATTGGTACTAACTGATGTAAATTTACTACTTTGGATGAAAATTATGAATACAAGGTATTTATGAATTCTGTAAAGTCATGGTAACATTAACATTAATGCAACTTCCTATTAAGCCATATTTTATGAGGAAAAACTGCAGCATCATTCCTACATGTCCTTAATCAAATTCATGTACATGTATCATGGATTTCATACCTTTATAAACAGAGAAGTCATTCTCTCTGATGTGTTGTAGTATCTGGAGATGCTGTGGATCATACGGATGGCATTGATCAAGCTAGGGATGCAATCCACCATACCAACCTGCACAAAATAATTCAATCACTTGATTCTCAAGCAAACAATTGGTACTGCAGTAAATTGATTCAGCACGAAGTCCCTAGTAAGGGAAGCAAATTTGTTTAAGGAATGGCTACATACACTATACATTGGTCACTCTTCTATATAGATGTGTATCACTGACCCTATTAAAGGCACTTAGAAAAGGGAACATAATTAATATCATTGGGCAGTTCCACAGAATTATAAACCTCAATGCCAAAATTTTAACAGAGTTCAAATGCCACAAATGAAACATATAGGCATATGTCCTTTTGAAACCGCAGTTCCGCATGTTGCAACTGAAAAATTAATAAGGCAAAAAAAAAAAAAATAGTTCTGCTTCCGGTTTCCCTACCTACCCTATTCTGACAGCCCCTACCTTAATTTTTTTATGGGAAAAATGAGGAAAAATCACCTGAAACCATCAATTTCTACCTTTTACCCTTGACTACACGCAGACACCTCCATATGATCGTACACAAAAAAAATTGACCAAAAAAATTATTTCCCTACCTACCTACCCTATTTTCATATGCCATGTAATCGGAAGCAGAATTTCTTCTTTTTTGTGCCTAATTGGGTACATCAAAAAAAGTTGTCTGAGAACGTGGGCCACCATGGTGTTTTGAACCAATTTCTACTACGGCAAAAAACCACTGTAGTAACTAACTGATATGTTTTACCATCCACTTTATTATGCACACTGTGGAATAGTCCAAAATGTATGTCTGACACTGTGTAATTCCACTACTATGCAAACTATGCAAATTAATTAATGGCCAACGACTGGTAATCCTGTCTGTGTTCACTGATTTTAATCCTCTCTACAGGAAATTCATCTCACCTCAAACAAGTGATTGTATTTCATCATGTTAACACAAATAATCTCTCTCAGGTGACTCAGATTGATGAGAAGAGCCTGCCAGTATCATATGGAATTTGGACTCCTCTAAAAATCTGGTCTCCTTTAGTGTGAGGAGTCTAACCTTCACCAGTGACCTGTCACTTTCCTAATTATCGTCACTTAGGCATGAGCAATACCAAGTCTGTATTTTATAGAGTCTAAATTTCACACTACACCGGTAAGGCAAAAAAAAAAATAAGTCGATCTCTGGTCAGCGCGCGCGTCAATTTTAATCATGCGCGTCAATCTTTTTTTTTTCTAAAATGTTTCCGCGGTAGCTCCAACAGCGCCCTCTATTGTCGCACCTCCTCAATTTTTTTATACCAAAGAGCACCAAAGAATGGGAAATTGCACCAAGGCAAATGATCGAGAGCACCAAGGCACATTATGGAGGACAACAATGTACAGGAGGACACCAAAAAAGCAAAATAGTACCCCACCTTGTCTGTACAATCCAAGCTTGAAGAAAATTTTTAAAAAAAGCAAAAAAAAAAGCTGCGTCCCCGGGTCAATTCCGGAACTTTGGTCTGACCAGAGACCGAATATCTTTTTTTTTTTGGCCTAATACCTACCGGGTCTGAATGATAGAGCGGTTCACAGAACTTCTCCAATGTGTACAGATACTTGACGTTATCTCTGGCCTCGTTGGCTGCGTCAGTGATGCGGGAATCAAGCTCCTTCCAGACCTGTGTGCAAACCATCCATCATCATCACACACAGCGTGGCAGGGTAAACAGATAATAGGTTGTGTAAAGAAATAGCAGGAACGGGATTTAAACCTGTGACCTTTGGGAAATCCTGCGCCAGTCAGTTTCTTTGTTCAAGCTTTTATTGACTTAAGTATAACATCCTCTTGTGGTTTAAGTTGAGATTTGAAGGTTTGCATGGTGGAAAGATACTAAGACAAGATAAGTTTGCGGTAGCACCATGTGAATAAATCTCTTTTGTGAGTATGTGTGGTTCTGAAAAGAACCGGAGGGACTCAACGTTTCGAACAGTATGCTCTGCCTGTCGTCAGGAGAATGGGGGATTCCAGGGATGATGCGATGTTATAAGGATGGGTGCGGTGAGGCGTGAGAAGGATGCAAACTGGTGAAGCTCGAAACCGGTGGTTTAATTGATAACGGAATAAACTATTCAATATTGGGTTTTGCACTTCACCAGCATATTCCATTTACACTGTATACTCAGTGTTGTCCCGAGTGATAGTGAGAAAAAAAATTACAAACTACTCGCTTGGGACTTAAACCCACGACCTCCTGCTTACTAGTGCAAACGTCTATTACCCTTCGACCCCCCGAGCTTAACCAGGGTCGGGCGGCTGACTGGTTTGAATCTGATATAGCAGGGGGTACTGCAACTAAACTATCCACAAGATTAAACTTGGGTCAGGTGATGTAAATTCAATATTGGGTTTTGCCCTTAACCAACGTATATTTTTAAGAAACCACAATATATATCATTAAGAAACCACAAAAGAAAACTGATTAGGTTCACTCTTAATATATATGTAATATGTTGAAAAAGAAACCTGACTAGAGTGGGGTTTGAACTTTGGACCTCCGGAACACCACTCTACCAACTGAGCTATCAAACCCTATGTTGGCGGTCTGCCACACGGAAAATGTCTTTGTTTATGGGGCACTAGTCAGATGTCAAATAAATTAATCAAACACAAACTTCACTACAAGGGACAAAGGGCCAAAAAAGTCTCAGGGAGTAGAAGAAAAAAATATCAGGACGACACTTACTTCATGTGTAAAAAGTTGAAATTATTAGGCCATGTCCAAATTAATCAGCTAAATTGAAATTATACATGCACTCATGAAAGAGGCTCAGGCCATTTCCCATGTGTTACTGAGGGCTATAGCCAAATAATTGGCTTATATGAGAACGCCTTGTGTTCTCCAATATTACTTGGTATTTTCTCATTTTGCCTATTTATTAACTTTAATTGACCTATCGCGGTAGAATCGCGTCAACGCAGCGTGTGACGTATTGTCCAATTAGGCCGCATCTCGATAATGAATGCCCGTTATTTCCCGTTCTGTCTGCGTTCCGGACGATCAGTCTGCAGTTGTCAAGGAGGGCGGGAATCTGCAGACTGGACGGGTGTGTGCGTTCAAGCACGGCGACTTAATACATGATGTACAAATGGACGCGGAACGCACAAAATCTGAGACAAACAAAACTCGTACAAAATTCCCTAGGGTTGTCGAAGGGGCGTGGCTAAACTCGCAAACGGTGATAGGTCAATTGTATTAATATATACCTAATCATTAATTTGTAACTTGTATTAACTAACTACACACTTCTTTTGCTGCTTTGATATTACGTCACTCTATTTTTTTGTGATGACACTGTATCAGTATTGTCAGTGGAGAGTACAAAATAAATGTTTAATGAATTATATTGAATTTAGATGCAGCCTAATATCCTGTTACTTTGAACAATGCGACAAGAGCACTCTACAGACATACCTTGAGGACCTTACTCTTGGCCACGTTGAGCACATGGATGACCATCTTGCATTTATGACTCTTGACCTGATCCACGATGGAGTTAAACCTTGCAGCGAGTAGTCTCCAATGCTCCAGCTCAGCCAGCGGTCCTGTGTCATCTGCCTCCTTCCTCATCTGCTCACTCTCCGCTAAGACCTGGCGGATTAAGCAGCAGATCATCAGGGCCCGATTTCAAGGCGCTGCTACGCAAAAAATGTTGCTTAGCACAAAAAAAGCCTGGCTTGTAAAAGCAGTTTACCAGCCAAAACTCCACGTGATTTTCATGCTATAGTAAACAACAGCTGAATGCTAATCACAACAATATACATCACATGGAGTTTTGGCTGGTAACCTGCTTTTACAAGCCAGACTTTTTTTGTGCTAAGCAAATTTTTTGTGCTTTGCAGCGCCGTGAAATTGTCCAATCTCATGAAGCTTAGAATTCTGCTGGGCAAATACGAAAGGAAGTGTAATGTCCGTGACAGAGACTTTTAACCATATGTAATTAATGATTCAGAGAAATGATACAAAACTCCTAGTCTGTAAAAGAAGAATGCATAAAAAAACAGGAGTAGGCCTAACTCAAGGTTTTTTTTTATCAATTTGGAAAAACTGCCTTTTTTCAAATACTGCCCCAAATTTATCATATTTAGTTAGTCTAAATTTTGTTTGCAATCGATTACACACCTATGAATGGGTTGAAGCCAGGTAGACTGGTTCCCTGATGTTACAATTCCCTGACGTCTATAAATTGCTCAATTTCAATTTAAGTGGGGTCAGGGACCAGACCGGAAGAACGTCATTGTTTTTCTTGGTTTTTCCAGCATCTACCAACACAAAACTTCAAACAAGTCAGTGTAACAATATTTGCTATAAACTACTAACCCACCTAATCCATAAATTTCTAAAAATTACAGCAAAAGCAAATGGTGTAAAGTCACAAACTTGTAATGACTTGTTAACCACTGATGAAATGTTACCTGTTCAATATCTTTACACCAGAAAGTGACCAGCTCATCAAAGGCGTCTACAATCTCTGGATTGGCAGCTGCTAGGATGCAGTCTGCTGCAGTTTGCAGACTATCAATGTCCAAGGCCTCACAGTCGCGTAGCTGGATTGCACCCGATACATTGGTCTGTGCACCTGTCATGACAGATAGGTACCATGAGAAACTGGCAACAAGTAACAAACAGAATCAATGCAGGAGGTCGTGGGTTCCAGTCCCACCCGAGTGATTTTTTCCAACTTTCAAAAAATTCCATCTTAGGCCAAAAAAAAAAAGTCTCCGGTTTCTGGTATGCGCGCGCGTCGCCGTAGCCATGCGCGACGGCAAAATGAAAAAGTTTTTTTTTCAATGAAAGATGATGTCTCAAAACCGCCAAACTCACTGGTTTGACTGGAATCCTGCTGCTGCACAATTTTAACGTGTTTTTAGATTGGGTTATGGTCGAGAATAAGCTTTATGTGGCCTCTCTGGACTCCCATATATTTGCACTAAGTTTAGTGGGGCACCATTTGCAGTCATCAGCCGACATTTGAAGCAAAAAAATCAGGTAAAAAAAAAAAAAAAAGCCGCGTCGCCGCATCACTTTTTGGGCAAGCTCCATACCAGAAACCGGACACTTTTTTTTTTGGCCTTATAATAGTGTAACGCAAATGGGTCTGGTGAACTTGTGAACTACAGAAGCAGGGCAGGGTGAGCGCCTGGTAAGGATTCAATGTGTATAAGACTGGTGGCTAGAGTAGGTTTCCATAACAAAAAATAGTCTAGTGGGTTGGGACTGGAAGTTTGGGAGCTGTGGAACGTCAGCCGTGTCCAGTCATAGGGAATAAGTTAAGGATTACATGTGTAGCTGTCAGTAGACTGACAGGGTGTTTTGAGATGTGTAAATGATGTTGTGGATAGCTAAAAGGGGGATATGTAAAATAACCTAGGCTAGAAAGAGACAATCAGATACATGTATGTTTTGAGCACTTTTAGGAAGGGCTGCAAATTAATCTTATGAGCGGAAGGGAACTGAAAATGGTTATATTGTTGGACCATTATTTTGTGACCAATTCTGTTTGTATAGGGCTTTTAAAACAGGGCTGGTTGGGTTCAAGTGATTACTTGGAAGTTGGGAAAATAATAGAAACTGGGACTGCCTGGGTATAAAGGGGCAGAGCTCATTAGTGAATTAGCCAGTTGTTGGGCTGAGTAGTTTGAATGAAGTTCTGGAGAGGAGTGAGACCAATTTGTATAAAGTGGAAATACTTCGTGTATGTAGTTGCAGCTTTAGAGAAGGACATCTGATTAGCAGATAGGTTGTGTGCTGGAACTGGATCGAGCGGGTTGGAGGATAATTTATGTGAGTACGATGACATACACATAATCACATGCAACCATGTATACCTCGATCTAGGGCATTGTCAGTGTAACCTGAGTTTACAGTTATACTGTTGCTTTTGTCATGATTTCAATGATGGTGTTATTGTGTAGTAGTGTTCATTCTTGTAAATAGTGTGCGGAAGAAGTAAGTGGAAGTGGAGTCAAATAAATTAGCTAGACATGAGTAGAATAAGAATAATCCTCTCCGGGTGTGCCATTCTTCAGAATTCCTTGTCCTCAGTGTAACGGGCGGTATATTTCCACCCAAACGGATCCGGTCCCTGGCCATATTTACGCGCGAGCGGCGCAGCTCCCGGGTTACTTGGTCCCGGCGAGTCAGGGGTTCATTGACCTCAGGGAAAACCGCCACAATAGTTAATGCGGTACCCGCTGCTATGTACATCAGATTCGAACCAGCCAACCGATCCCGTTAGCTCGGTGGTCGAGTGGTAAGACATCTGCACTAGAAAGCAGGAGGTCATGGGTTCGAGTCCCACCCGAGTGATTTTTTTTCCAACTTTCACTCGGGAGGTAACACACCGAGTATACAGTATTTAAACGTCGGTGAAGGGCAAAACCTAATTTGATTTACATCAGGACGCAAAATTCCATCTTATAATAGAATCAATGCAGTTGCAGCAAAGTGTCCTGCCTAAGAACACAAGCAGCATGATGGTTTGGATAAAACCCCTCATATAATGACATTAAAATGGTCAGACATGCAACATGAAAGTTGCACGCACACAAAAAACAGAAATTACAAGCTGCATGAGCCTTTCTACAGTTTTATCCCAAACGATACACTTTTCAGGTTAAAAAGAGGATATCCGATCTGTGGAAAAACTGAATGCCTGCTATGACATGTATCAGACTGAAGAGAAAATATTGGACTTTTAATCACTTTGAGGGTCACTAATAAGGGAATAAATGTGTGCTCCGGAGGTTTTTATCACTCGTTTAATACCGCTTAGAGTCTGGGTGCTGATAATTACCCAAGCCGGAGGCGAGGGTAATTATCAGCACCCAGACTCTAAGCGGTATTAAACAGAGTGATAAATACCGACCGAGCACATATTTATTCCCATTCATAAATACCTTATCCGTAAAAAAATATCAAATAATTCGTTCAAAAAATCCCGATTTTGTTCAACAAGTTGACTTCATGCTTTTTGAAACATCCCTCTAGCAAAATAATGGAGTGTTCAGCTGGCGAGTAAGATGTAAACAACCCTTTTATGGAGATTGACGCGCGCGTAACATGTTCTGCGCGATGTCACGCAGAATGCACCTGGGGCGTTGCGTTTTGAATGTAGAACTATAAAATTCTGACTCGCTTGTAGTGTTGTGCATGCCTACGTGAGGATTGTGAACGTTCAACCAATGAAACGGTAAGAGGCACTGGATTTTTAGGAGTCCACATTTTATTGTGACACTGGAAAAGTGTTTAAGACCAGCTAGTCATGTCTTTATCATCCGTTTAAGACCGGCCACGTGACGGGATCTCGACCAATAGGAATGCGTAAACTGTCTGAGGTATTTATGAATGAGTATTGACCTATCGCTGTTTGTGAGTTAGCCAGGCCCTAAGGGAATTTTGTACGTTAAGTTTTGTTTGTCTCAGATGTTGCGCGTTCTGCGTCCATTTGTATATCATGTAATTGGACAATATTTCACAAGCTGCGTTGACGCAATTCTAATGCGATTCTACCGCGATAGGTCAATTTTGGCAATACTGAAAATAATAATAACAGGCTGTCGAAACTGCCTGTTATAATCTACATAAAAAGCTAAAGCCGAACAAAAAAATTGTTTTGCTTCCTACCCTAATTTTATGGCACAACCCTAACGTTTTTATCAGCAAGTACAAAACAAATCATTATGTATTTTCTGTCTTCACGAAAACACTTCCCAACAACCTTTTTACATTAAAACACTCGTAATATTTGTTTATTTTCCTACTTACAATCGCTTTTTTCCGAAAGCAAGGTTTTATCATTTTTGAGGGTCACTTTTGATACTTTTTCCAGGCACAAATAATTCAGACTCAAAATGTACATAAAATTGAATACTCCATTCAATTGGCACAAAAAAACATTTAGCAAAATAAAACAAAAATTCCGACCTACCAACCCTATTTCCGAAAAGCGTGTAATCGGAAGCAGAACATTTTGCTGTTCGGCCTTAAGAGTATACATGCCTATGGTGACAAAACTTACTTCCAACATACTGCATGAAGCCATCGAACGAATCCAAGAATTTCTTCTGTGTTCTCTTGCCGTGCGGTGTCTCACCCAATGCTCCCCAGTTGTCCAGGGCGTGTACAGCAGGTTTGAAGACCTTGCTGAGTATCTGCTGGATACCAGGCAAGACGCTCAGCTTACCAGAGCCTGATGTGTCAAAGAAACCGTAATTGATCTCCTGTATGGAGTAAAGAAGAATTCAGTGAGTTAAAAGGAAGATACAACATTTGCAAACATCACACAACGAAATGATAAAGTGATCACAAAATGGTAATCCTTACTTTTAGGACCCCGTTCCTATATAGGAAGGGAAAGACTCACCAAAACAGTTGACTAAATGACACTCAAAATTGACATTCTGATACTTCTTGGCACATCTGAACAATTGGCAATGACACCTTCTTGAATATCAGCAGGTTTAATTTTGTGGAAAGAGGGCAAGGCTTTGATTTATGAGGGAAATTCAGGGGTAAAAGACGACGATGACAACCAGAAAACAGACTCAAAAACCAAGATGGCAAACGTGAAAGCTTGATGCAATGAAAGCTCGATGCTGATTGGCTGATAAAAAATAAACATCTTATATATTTTTAGTCTGGTTCCCAGACCAAAAGATTCAGGAATAGTCAGAATCTTTTGGTCTGAGAACCAGACTAACTTATTTATTTTTAGTCTGGTTCCCAGACCAAAAGATTCAGGAGTAGTCAGAATCTTTTGGTCTGGGAACCAGACTAATTAATTTTTTTAGCAGCCAATCAGCATCGGGCTTTCATTATGTAGGGCTTTCACGCATGTGAGAACTACAATAATGCACGTCTGACTGCAAAAAAAGGTAGGAAAGTCACATTTTCTTCGAAAGTGCTTTCAAAACTACAACTAACATGAGTTTATATGAAAAAAAAAGAAGACTGCTTTAGCCTGCAAAAGTCACTTTGGTACTGGACAGTCATCTGCAAAAGTAAGTTTTGAACAGATCTTGTAAAAAATAGAGGTGTCCTAAAAGTAAGGATTACCCACAAAATACCTTACTGGATTGCTAGGGAATGACAGTAAAAAGCATCCTGTAAAATCGTGGCTCCTGGTGTGCTCACATTTTCAAGAAAAAAAATATTTTTCCAACGCTGGTCAGCCAACCAGTGTTGGAGAAAACTGGCTTTTTTCAATAAGTGCTTCTAAATTTTCATATTTAGTTAATTCGCATTTTCTTTGCAATTGATTACACACCTGTGAAAAGGGTACAAGCCTGCTAGACTAATTATCTGACCTTACGATTCCCCAAAGTCCATAAATTGCTTCGTTTCATCTTAAGTAGGGTCAGAAACCAGACTACATTTGTACAAGAACATGATTGGTTTTCTTGGTTTTTCCAGCATCTACAAGCCCAAAACGTGAAACAAGTCAGTTTAACAATATTTTCTATCACATAATGATCCTCCAAATCCATTTATGTCGGAAAATTTCAGCTATTTAAAGCAAATGTTGTACATTCCCTTTATCATGTTTATGTAACATTACAAGTCTCATATGCAACCTGTCAATAGGCGTTATGGGCTCCGTGCACAAGTACCCCCTCAACGGTAAGAAAGAGAGAGTTGGGGGAGACTACTGGGAGAGACATTCTAACGCAAAGCCAATGATGCCTGACGCTCACGGAAAGACACTATGATGGGTTTGTGCACATGCAGTTTAACAGTAGTCGTGCGTACTTTGCGCTTTACGCACACAATCGTGTGTTCACCGTCGATCGTGGACGTCCTATTGTCCCTCTTTTGTTTGTAATCACTTGTTAGCGAGACTCCCATAGGTTTTGTACATGACCCCAATCGCAGACGTATGCTGGGAATCGTGGACGATATTGTTCTCTTTTGTTCTCTGGTATTTTTCGTCCACGGTTTGAAAAGATGAAAACGTACTCACAAACCATTATGCCCCTTCTCTTGTTCGCGCACAGAACCCATATTTGGGCAAATGAGGGTACTTGTAATGATGCCATTTGGCGGCATAAACAGACGTAAATCTTAGGGATTATTGACTAAGAAATAGCATCATTACGGCACCTTTAGTAACACAAAAAACTCATACCTTTGTTTTTAATTTTCAATTCAATTATATTTATTTCCATCAAAAGCAACTTATTACATTGAAAGTCTTGCTCCAGCTCATATAGTTCTGGGTCATTTTTTGTGTTTGGCTGTCATTTTCACAACCTATTCTTTTATTCCAGAAAATGTTGAAGTTGGACATCAGTTTAAATTTGCATGCAGCAAACATATCAAGAAAAATATCCATGCAGATTAAAAACTTGGACTATCTTTGCGTTTTAATTAATTAGCAACTTAATTGGATACCCTGATGTTGATTTAAGACCCTGACTAAAATCCTGAATTATAGTAGAGTCATTGGTTTGAACAATTTAAAACAAAACTTAAACAAAACTAGATTACAATTACCTTGAAACTGACTCAAAGCTGTTAATCAAAATTCTCCAACTTGCTAATCAAGAACAATCAAAACAAATAAAAACATATGAACAATGTTAGTTGTGAACAAAGTAAACAATTTTGGTCCACTATAGAACAAAATAGGTCCAATACAGAAAATGAGATTCATCAAAACCAACATAGATGAACCTGGATTAATTCTAACACTTGTATCACAAAACAAATTGTCTTGTCAAATAATGACTATTTTGAAAACAACGAAATGAGCCTTTTACAAAACAAGGCAGATTAAAATCTTGAAACTATTTTATTAACTTGGTGGATAAAACAGCTCACCACAGGCATGCCAAACAAGACAGTTAATAAAATGTCAAAATCGTACAAATATGACAAGTATATGACAACAGACTGACCTCATGGATGTTGCGCTGGTTGAGAGTTTGATCAGTCTTGCTCCGTAAGAAGAAGATGCACTGTCCAGTCAGGCCTTCCTCCAGACCACTGGTAACAAACAATCGCTGCATTTTACCTCCTTTGGGCAGCGTCACAATGCGACCAGAATCTGCATGGATGAAATCCACGTAACAAAATGATCATCAACTTTTATCTCAACACAAAGTTCTTCCATTACTGAAATGTTTGTCCAAGAGCGCTGGTCTTCATCAGCAGGATGACCAGGGGCCATTTCATAGAGATGATAAGCACATTTTTTTTTATTGCACAGAAGATCATGAAATTTGGGTAAGATATTGTATTACTGTGTTCATTCATTCATTCATTCATTACTGGTTATTATTCTCCTTAACTTAATTATTGACCCACATGTCTCACTCACCATGACTGGGCGCATCACCGTCTTGAAGGAAACACATCAGCGATCGTGAGCCATCTTTCTCAAAGAATCGGTCCATTAAGTCCAATTGCTGGGGAAAATAAAAAATAAAGAAGACAAATTGTTTTGAAAATGCTCACATTGTTAGCTACAGAGTTCACTGAAAAGACAAAAACTTCAAAATAAAGAAGATAAATTATTTTGAAAATGCTCACATTGTAAGCTACAGAGTTCACTGAAAAGACACAAACTAAAACAACGGTAGTTTCATCAAAGCAAACAAGACCACAATCAATCATTGTTATGAACACAAATTCTCATCTTACAAACATTGAAATACTTGGGTTCCTATACCCTTTCGACTGGAGACAGCAAAAAGCCAGCAAAGTCTAGAAGGCAAAATGTCATCAACATTTATTCTCATTTTAAAGCTACTGCACATTCACAATAACGGTACCGAGCTTAAGAAAAACAGGAAAGAAAATTGTTTTCTGACAAACACGGAGGGTGAAATTACATTGAACATTTACCATCCATTTACCATGTTTGACTTAACAACTTTTTAAAATCTAATTTCATCCTCAGTAAAACTGATCGTAAAGCTTCATGTGTTACCTCAGAGGAGTCCAGTATATGTTCTTCTATGGCTGGTATTTCCAGGCCAGTATGCAGCTGGATGATGTCAAAGATGTGCTTGTGGAGAGGGGAGATTCGAGTGCGACGCATCTCACGAGCATCTTTAGCTCGAGCCTAGCAAGATGTAAAAAGAGTGGGTTTTAATATGATAGGAAATGTAAATCAAAGTGTTTTGGGCACTTCCACAGATCATTGCAGCTATCCAAAAAGTAACTGAAAAAATTATTGTAGAAAAGCTTACTTGGTTTAAAGATGGCACTAATCTCCCTGTGAAATGATTCTTTCTGGCATTGTGTCATTTTGAAGAAAGCAATGAAAGAAGGCCATTTCAAAAGATGCGTCAAGTGACGCATTTTTGGAAATTTCCGTTAGTAGTTGGTTTGTAATTCGGCGAATCCGTGAATGGGTGCGCGCAAGTGTTGACACAATGCACACGTGCGCGCAGTTGCTATTGTAACGAAACATTGGACATAGTGCCAGTCTAGGGTACTGGTGCCCGCGTCGGTGGTCTCCGCGCTGCTACTGTCTATGCACCCGCTGCCCGCGGGTATAAAAGCGTGCGTCAGCCGCGCGCGCGACACTCACTCACTCTGTCAGTCACAAGCAGAAGCGCATGACACGAGTTATTTCTTGGGTGAGTCGTCAGTCAGTTTCATGCAGGTCTGACAGCGCTGCGATTGATTATCCGCTAGCGAGTTAATCTAGAAGAGGGACCAACCGGACGGGCTGCCTTTACATCACTAGTTGGTGAGTTAACTGGCCAGGAAGAGTTAGAATAAGCAGCCAACATTGTGTCCACGTTAGAGTTAGCGATAGACGCCTATATAGGAGTCGCCTGTCAAGGCGCACACAATAAAACACCATTGTTACGTTATATAAAGAGGACTGTGACTTAATCATTGTCTCCTGTGAGTTATTGGGCCTAATAGGGTGAGAGTGATTGAGTGCGAGTATCTCTGGTCCACTGCAATGCCTGGGGGTATACTTCCTCCAAACGAAGTAACGTCCCGGGTTTCCCGGTAACCGCTCATCGGGAAAGCCTAATCCTGTCAGCGTCCGTCCGGCGGCATCTCCCGGCTGGAGGCAGGGACGAAGGGTCGGCGGACCGCTACACTATTATTCATCAGTTGAGTGAGTGACGTTGCGTAGCTGCAGTCGGCTGAATGAGAACATGTCCCGGATGCTGATTTCGGGCGCAATTCAAAGCACGACTCGGCAACTTTTGAATTGAAACTGAGATCCTAGAATATTGTTTTCTCAGAATATACAGCATTCAATGAGCTGAAGTTTCATAATGTTAGTTGTTAAGCACCCATCTTTAGATTTTGAGCAACTACTAGTCAGAATTGTCTGGAGCCCACTTATGTACTGAAACTTTCCAGTTTATAGTTACTTTAGAAAAAAATCTCAGCTGAATGTCAGCGATCTTTCACATGAACGATACTTTGCATAGAAAAAGAAAAGCTCTTGGGGACAGTCACCAAAGGGAATGGACCGATCCACTGAGCGCAACCCCCCCCCCCCTCCCAAAATCCGCCCCTGGGCAACTACATGTACATGTGCATCTCTCCAATGCCACACTGCATGTTTCAGCTGCATGTGTCATAATCATGTTCACGCATGTCAGATTTTTGTGCACGCACGTCAGACATTAACTACCTCTGTGACTGCTCAAAGCATTTTAGGACTCGGGCTCAACCAGTGAGACCAAAGTTCCGGAATTAATGATGTGGCGATACCGTGGTGTGTTTTTTTTGGGAGGGGGGGGGAAGCTTCTTTTCTTTTTTTTTTCAAGCTTGAATTGTACAGACAAGGTGGGTACTATTTTGCTTTTTTTTTTGGTATCCTAGTACCTTGGTGTCCTCCATCATTTGCCTTGGTGCCCTCCATCATTTGGAGTTCAGCTGAACACGAAAATTTGAGGCAGTGCGGCAATAGAGGGGCGCTGTTGTAGCAACCGCGGAAAATTTAAAAAATAAATAAAACATTGACGCGCAAGATCTAAATTGATGTGCGCGCTGACCAGAGGCCATTTTTTTGTTTTGGCCTTATAATGGATTGGTCTATTACTGCAAGCATATGAGACCATCAAAACATGTCATATCCTGAAAGAAATGGGAAAGTAAGTTAAATGGTATCAGTATCAATACTGTTTCAATACGTGACCTGGTCTACATCCAGGAACCAGCAAGTCAGCGTCACCATTGTAGTAGGCAAAGAACATAAGCGCACCGTGCTTGTATGTAAGAGTGCCTTCAAAGCTGTGATGGATGGCAAACACAGTAAGAAAAACGTAGAGCCAACAAGCAGTGCTGGGTCGGCATGATTATGACAACCGTAGTGACCATTCCATTTGATAAAGAATTTGCAGTTATTTTATGTGAAAATAAACCCTACTCTCTAGTTTACAAAGCACAGCGTGGTTGCCAACCTAACTCTTGCCTACTACAATGGTGACTTATCACGGGGGTCGAAAAAACCCGATGGTCATGTGGTACTTTAACGTCGTACGATTAGAATCTTAGGTACCTGTCTTTCCTTGAGTGTCTCTGCCTGTAGAGCTCCCACCAAGCTCTTCCTCTGCATTCTCATTCTGGGATGAATGCTGAGTCTCCGTTTGTCAGCTGGTGGGTGGTCATTGCTATCGATGTGGCCATGTGAGCCACTGGCAGCATTCAGCTCATCATGGGACATCTCGGCTCCCTACACAACAATATCAACTGCAAAAGTGAAAGAGAAATCATTTTTTAATGCAAACACTTAAATAATATTCAAATACAGTCGTTTTCCTAGTTCCGGATAGCAAACATCAATCAGGCTGCTTTCGGCTCAACTACTCCACGAATTCAAGTGACATTGATTAAAAAGTGTACCTTGAGTGATGGAGAGACCACAAAATAATTTTCAAAATGTAATCTCTTTTTATTTGATTTTACGACGTCAAAAGTACCGATGTCACTTTTCCTAGTTCCGGATCGGTTCAATCAGTTCCGAATCGATCAAAACTGCTTCATGCGAAAAAAAAAATCGCTCGAGAAATTTTTTTTCAGCCAGAACCAACTGAATCAAGCATAGGCTTATATTCTGATAAAGTATTATTTCATTTTCCAAAAAATAGTTCATTCAAGAGAATTCTGAAGCAAATTTTAAAAAGAGAACAAAACGTAAATGATTTTGAAACTTTTGTCTGCAGTGCAACGGCTCGAACTCACGCACAGACCGAAAATCTTTGACCCAGCTCTAGAATATGTCATACAAAATCGATTATCGCGCGTGTAGTTGGGTATAAAGTGCACGCGCTATCCAGAACTAGGCAAAAGCATACGGTCATTCGTTGGCGAATTTTCAAAAATTAGAGACTTTACAACTTATTTTGATTCAACAAGCATTAGATGGAAGAGCTAGTTTATACGACTGCATGTAGGCCTACTGTAGTGTATGAACAAAATATTTGAAATCACACGGTACAAGTGATATACTGAGGAGAAAATTTATCGTCGATTCGCAGCTCCCGTGATTTTCTACAAACCGTCCAAACATGTCAAAGTGCGAGTCGGAAATCTGACCAAAATTCCTCTTCTAAACATTTTATCGGAAAAATCTTTGTGTGTAGGCAAGGTCGCAAGGAGCTTACATTTTTCTTTTCAAAATGCACATTGTCAGAAACAAAATTATTGGAGACTAATCCAAAAGAAGTGGGTTTTTATTTGAACTTGAAGCTATCTGGAACTAGGAAAATCCGGACATGCCGGAAGAAAACGACTGTCATGACTGTAGGCCCTATTAAAATTAGTGCAGTGTATGCAGTGGACAACACCGCAGTATGCTTGGCCTTGAGACTAATGAGAGACACACCAGGCCCTACATCATTCCTCCCACCCATGATCACCGCAAAAAAAACAAGAAGCTGCTAAGTTAGGACCCATCCATGCACATGATGCAGTGATGCACTAACCAACGTTATTAAACTAAACACATTATCAACATCATCATGTCCGTCATGCGGTTTTTGCAGGTCAAGTCCGTCATGCAGGTTATGTCCGTGGCCGTGCAAGCGCCAGTCGTCAACCTTACGATATTGTACCAGCATGCAAACACCATGGAGCTATTGCTGCCAAAGGTTTTGATTCTCATGAGTGTGTGAACCAAGGACTGATTGACCATGAGCCGACCCACTTGAGCCCGGCTGGCAACAAGCCCCATGCATCATGCACACACGTTATTGCTGGCCATGCATGATGATTCACGATGGTCGATCGATGTAACTTTTTCGTCCAGCCAAAATTCACCAGACTGAAGCAGACTTTCTACACAAAATACTTACCTGATGATCGTATAAGCGGCAACAAGTTGACTCATCAATTTTCTTAGGTTAGGGAAGTGCAATCTTGTTGCAAAAGTCTTCAAAAATGTCACTCTTTCAAAGACAAAGTCTGCAAAGTACGTACGTACACGTACACTCCAGCTGCAAAAATGGCTGCTTGCTTAAATGCACACTTTCTCAATAAAAACACATCCGCAGGGAATGTTTTTATTGTTTATCTAATTCTGAAACATGACGTGCAGTATAAAACTGTGCGGTCTCATCGAATGTTAATTAAATCAATTATCTTAAAAATGGAATTGTATTTAAGCATCAATGCTTGTATTGTAAGAGGAAATGTGTATTGATTGCCGAACTACTTTGTAGTGGTGTAATTATATGTGGGTGAAACCGCTACGCGTCAAAAGCGCTCTAACTTTTATCCAATCAAAATGCTCGACTATCAAAGTCAAAAAAGACAAACGTTTACGTCTGCCAGTTTTGATGACATCATGTACAGTAAAAGTAATAATGCATACGTCTAGCATGCAAGAGTGGGGGTTTTTTTGACACTGCAGATGTAACTGTGGAATGGTGCAGGGGGGAAATCTTCTATAGTTTTTCCACGGAGATTTCCGTTGTGAATTTTGGCTGGTGTATTAAATCCCGGGGAAAAGAATTTGCCTATTATAAATCAATGTCTTACACAGTACAGTGCTAACTGAAGCGCGTTTTATGTCCCAACTTTGGGCCCTACGTGCAAGCGCAAACAGCCCGCTCATTTTCCGCTACGGGTACAGCCGGCTACTCAGCAGTCAATCAGTGCTAGAGGGCTCACTTCATTCGATCCATTATGTAGGGCTAGCAGCAACCTCGTCCCCAGTGCTTACTTTATTTCCAACCGCGTTTCCAATAGTAAACCCTGGATAGGAAACTTTCTTCCTGTATCCTGATTGGATACCGCAATTGGCTAGTAATGGATTTTATCGTGTACTTGGTGCTATTATTCACAACGTGCAGTACGTGTTTTCGCGATCATTCACGCCTTCTCGAAAATACTAATTTCCTTTACAATTTGCTCATATTAATATAAAATATAATACTGCATGTTGTCTCGATAAGATCGTAACAGTTTGATTTCAAAAATCGTGTTTTTGTAACTCACGCCGTGCTCGCGCTGCTACGAATTGACTCTGTTTTTACCCCAGACACCGCATACAAAAAAACCCGCTAATGTTTAACGCATATCCAGGCACCAGACTGTTCCTCATTTGCATACGTGTTCAAAAATCTTGCACATGCAAATGATCCAATTCCAGGGTGGGCGCGTACTGCTCGACACCCTGGGGACGAGGTTGGGCTAGCAGTATTTTGCAGACACACAACCAGATCAGTGATGCAGGGCCGACCGTAGCCATGGTGGAAGGGGCGGGGGCGGGGGCGGGGCGGGGGCGTTTTTTTTTTCAAACCTTTTCATAATCCAATATTAAACCGTCCCAGCTGATTACGCAGAAACAGATGTGTCAAATCAATCGCAAGGAAAAAATGGACCGTGCAGCCGACCACCCCCCCCCACCCCCCGCCGGCCCCTTCCCGGCCTATACATGTAGTAGTCAGGTTGCATACGGTTGGAATCGTGACCGATTGGTCCAAAGCAGTAAACTTGGCAGATATATTCTTATGGCCCCAGAGAAGATATTTAGAAGGGGTGACACCAGAAATTCGTTTGGGAAGGGTGCCTAATTTGCATAAAGCGTTAATCCCTGCCGTGTAATATATTTATTCCCATATTTGGTTAGATGTTAATTTTTTTTATTTTTTGAAAAGTATATTTTGGGGATTTTACTTACATATCCTTACTTAAATAACATTTTCTAAAGCATATCAGAGACTTGAAGATTTTGAGGACATAATAAAGATCCAAAATGGCTGCCATTATACCCTAAAGTTGCGCGCATTTCCTTTTCCCTCTTATATCACCAAGTAGTCTTGCCAAACCTCAGTATTGATGAGCTTCAAATTCACAAAGATACTTACTGGCACAGTTACCCCAACAAAAATAAATGGGAAATCATGTGAAAAATTATATCATCTTGATATTTAGCCCACAAAAACAAAGAGAGGGGAAATGAGGTGTCCGTAAATAGGGCTAAACATTAGGCGAAGCCTGCCTAACGTGAGGGACTTGATCGTTTTTGTTTTCTGGGTTAAATATCACAATTTTATCATTGTTCACATGATTTTCCATGAAGTTTTAATCGAGTTACTGTGCCAGTAAGCAACTTGGTGAATTTGAAGCTCATCAATACTAAGGTTTGGTAAGACAACTTGATGATATCTGGAGACAAGATAAATGCGGGCAACTTTATGGTATAATAGTAGCCATTTTGGATAGTTACTTTGTCCTCATAATTATTCAGTCAGTCTTAAATGCTTTAGAAAATGTAAGTGAAGTAAGGATGTGTAAGTGGAATCACCAAAATATACTTTTCAAAAAATAAAAAAATTAAAAATATACTCAAATATGGGAGTAAATATATTACACGGAAGGGATAAATGATTTATGCAAATTAGGCACCCTTCCCGAAAGAATTTCAGGTGTCACCCCTTCTAAATATCTTCTCTAAGGCTATAACAATATATCTGCCAAGTTTGGTGCTTTGGACCAGTCGGTCACGATCTTGTCAAAAATTGGGCCTAAGCCACCTGACTATAGTGAGGGACTGCAAACCGGCCCTGACAGAAGCAGACATGTAACAAAAATTACAACCGAAATAATTACGTACAGCAGATAGGAAATGGTGTTCACTGTCTCTGTCTAGCGAAAAACACGTCAGCAATTGAGCCAGGCAATTACGACTGCCAAGTACATGTACACGATGCACGTCACAAAGCGGGGAATCCCAGTTTGTACGGCACACAATGCGTCGATAGGGAAATCCCACTATAAATAAGGAGCCTTGACCTTTGACACCCAACAGCAATACACCCGGCACGTTGTCACAATGAGCTCCGTCTGCACTGCAGGCATAATATACGCTTGCAATAAGGCCTGCTTGCAATCGAAAACAGAAAAACCCAGCGATGTGCAATAATAACCGGAAAACTGCGACCGCAAACAGTTTCCGGAAAGCGGGAATTGTACAATGTGGTTCCATGGAATGAACGACTATTTACTGACCACAGCTCCGTCGGTCGCCCAGGGTGCGACTTTAGGGGTACGGCATGAATGCGAAATTTGCACGCGGGTTTTTCCGTTGGTGAAGCAACGATTTTCTAGGATTTTGGCGGTTTTCGAATTGACCACATGACTGACAAGCAGAATTCACTGTGAAGGCTTTCTGTCGTTTCAATATCCCACTGTTATATATATTAATTTTTTCCATTTTCCAAAAGTCAGGCATTTTTACACCAGAAAAAAATTGGTCCAACATTCAATTAAAACGATCATGCTGCAATCATTCTGCGATGGCCGGAGGTACGGTGGTCGTATATAGGAAAACATCATTTCTAATGTTAAGTAACAACCCATTCAAACGATCCAAGCTTGCCATAGCCTATTATTATCTTCCAGCCCAGTAGCGTATCCAGCTTTTGATGTGGGGGGGGGGGGGGGGGGGGCAACCGCACATCCGCGCCGAAATGTAGACATGTTTTTTTCCTCCAGACACTTGGCCTCCGTAAAATCAAAAAGCAGGGGGAGGAGGGGGGGGGGGCTGGTACCCATCAAATGGGGGCGCTCTTCAAAAGTAAAAAAAAAAAGTAAAAAAAAAAAGGCGGCCCCCCACCTCTGGATACGCCACTATTCCAGCAGTTAACTGCGCATCATGTATTATATATTAATTGAGGTAGGCAGGTATAGTTCCACCATACATGAATTATAACGAGCACTTAGTCATAAACTTTTATTGGACAGTATTCAGAAATTCACGTGATGTTGATTTGTTTTCTCTGTACCCATGAATAGCTATATAGCTATAAGTGGAAATCATCGATGACAGTGCTATATTTGGATTTGTTATCTATGATTGTTTGATGGTTAACCACGCAGCTCTGTATTCCTGTACCGCAAAGTACAAAGGTCTAGTCTGGAGTCGGGGACGCATCTCCTCATGATATTCCATTCAGGTGTGGTACAGCTAGGGTACTCGACGCCCGCAATTCATTTCTACGGCAATGAGGCTTCGGCTTTCCGTAACACTACTGACGAAGCGGCTTGAATTCACTTCCAGTCAAGTGCTGCCATCATTTCAGTTGTCATAACAGTACTGAATGATAATGTTTTTTGTGCAAAAAGGAACCAGACTTTTAACGCGCATCCTCGTTTGCAAACACGCATATCGTCCATTCACCAAACTCACCGCCAAACTGCTTGAGAGGCGTGGCTAAAAACTGAAGAAGAAGAAAAAACAGGTGCTCTAATTAACAACATGCATACCCTCGTATTTCCAATGCGTGAAAAAAAATTCATTCACCCCCATATACCGACTGAAACTATAGGGAGACGATTTGGAGTTATCCATTCAACCAAAATGATCGAACGCTTTTGCCTGAAGTGAAGTGACTCTTCCCCCCCCCCCCGAGTATTTCAATCTAAAATTATAGAGTGAAGTTTACTCTAAATCGTCCCTATAGGTCTCGAAGTGGTCGCATGAAATCTCGTCTGCCCTGTTCTGATCTACACAATTTACGAATTTCTTCACTTTTGTTTTGATTTATCTTTTTTTTTTTAACTGCTTTACGTTACGTGCGCGCTATACCATACTGATGAGGGTCACGTTCTTCAACTGATGTTTACAGCTCATTATTAATAGCAGGAAAAAGGCAGCCAACCCCGAAACCACTCAACCCATGGACATTTTACGAACTTTGCACTTGAATGGTTAAATATAGATCCAGGCGCACATACCATAGGTCGGCCCTCTGTGTGCTATTTCAGTGAAGCTACCTGTTATACGCGGAAGTGGTACCTCGAAGTCGAACAGGTGAATTCCTGTAACCGTGTGAGCCGGTTAATGCCCGGGCTGTTGAACCAGAAAAAAATATACAATCCTTGCTGAATGTATCTGGGGTCTGGTGAGGTGTTCAAAACACGTCGGCAGTAAAGAGAGGGACTAATGACTTCATGCGTATGACTTCACATGTAGTTTACAAGTCCGTTTTGACCAAATTGTTTCAGTCGGAGGGGGC